TGGTGTGGTGAGGTGTAATATAGTGTGTTTGTGGGAGGGAGTGTATTAGCAAGGGGCTATGTTATGGTAAGCACGTTTTTTTGTATTATTTTAATGAGTTTTATTTTCTGAGTTTTATTTTCTGATGTTACTTGTTAGGTAAAGTGAATCTTGGTTGGTTTATTTGAATTTTCAAAAATAATAATAATAATAATAACATAATAACTATTGTTTTTTAATGTTTTTTAATGTAAAGTGAGAAGAAATCCCCCTATATATTAATCCAGAACGCGCTGAGCCTACGTGGCTGCTTATGGTGCTTCGGAATCCTATGTGGCAAAATTACATGCTTCGTTGTTCGGCTTGGGTAAATTTAATTAAATTACAAACCAAAAATAATTAAGTTCAGATTACCATGGAAAAATTACATGCTTCGTTGTTCGACTTGGGTAAATTTAATTAAATTACAAACCAAAAATAATTAAGTTCGGATTACCATAAATATGTTGATTATTTATGGTCATGTTACATGTAGTAATTGCATTTTAATATCATTCCTTATTATAACTATTGAATTGTATATATATTTTAAAAGTTAATAACTTTTGTATTTTTTATCAGTTTTACATATGTAATATCCCCCTATATATTAATACAGAATGCGCTGAGCCTACGTGGCTGCTTCTGGTGCTTCGGAATCCTATGTGGCAAAATTACATGCTTCGTTATTAGGCTTTGGTAAATTTTAATTTAATTCCAAACCAAAAATAATTAGGTTCGGATTACCATAAATATATTGGTTATTTATGGTCATGTTACATGTATTAATTGCATTTAAATATCATTGCTTATTATAACTATTGAATTGTAATATTGTATATATATTTTAAAAGTTAATAACTTTTGTATTTTTTATCAGTTTTACATATGTAATATATCAAATTAATCTTCTTTTGACGAGTTTCGATTTAACATCCATATTGTATGTATAAAAAAATACACTACAAAAAAATTGTTATATTCCAACGGAAAATCCTATGGTAATATATTCCAATGGAAATTCTAACGGATATTCCAATGGTATAGCTTCCGTTGGAATGATTCCAATGGAAATTCCAACAGAAATATTCCGTTGGAATGTGTTTTTCATTGGAATTTTAGATGGAATTTGATGATTCCAACGGCTATATTTCCAACGGTTTTTTACCGTAGGAATTTCCGTTGGAATATGCAAATTTCGTTGGAATTTTTATTTCCACCCCCGTTGGAAAATCCACCGTTGGAATCGTCAAAATTCAACGAAAATTCCAATGGAAAACTCATTCCAACGGAATATTTTTGTTGGAATTTCCGTTGGAATCCATTGAAAAATTCCAACGGAAATAACAGTATAGAAATATCCGTTGGAATTGCCGATGGAATAATTCTTTTGTAATTGATTTCCGTTGGAATTTCATCATTTTCTTGTAGTGATAATTTATATATATCTTTATAAAAATAATAAAATTAATTTTAATATTAATTAGAAAAATTAAATTATTTAACAACTAATATATTTATATTTCAAGTAGTTATATGATATAAGTTATAAAAACTAATATAATATAACACATGTAAGTCATAAGTAACACATATCATTCTAAAATATATAGTAATATATTTTTTTTTGTAGAAAAGTAAACTAAATTTAATATAGTTTTCTCATTAATTTTAAAATGTAAAAATATTTTTTAACAATCACCCGTGTAATACACAGGTGTTGTGCTAGTAACAATTTAATCTTCTTTTGATGAGTTTCGATTTAACCTCCATATTGTATGTATAACAAAAATAATTTATATTTATTATTTATAACAATAATAAAATTATTTTTAATATTAATTAGAAAAATAAAATTATTTTTATCAACTAATATATTTATATTTCAAGTAGTTATATGATATAAGTTATAAAAAACTAATATAATATAACACATGTAAGTCATAAGTAACACATATCATTCTAAAATATATAGTAATATTTTTTCTAAAAAAAAGTAAACTAAATTTAATATAATTTTCTCATTAATTTTAAAATTTAGGAATAATTTTTTTACAAGCACCCGTGTAATACACTGGTGTTGTACTAGTAGTAGTGTAAAGTAAGAAGAAATTATAAGAGGGACTGACCTTAGAATTAGGTGCATAGCTTTCATTCCTTCCTCTAAGGTGAGGAAAACAAAGTTGAATCGGAAAAACGGAGGTAAATCGTGTAATTTGTGCAGGTTTTTTTTTTTTTTTTTTTTAATGTAAAAAACTTGGGTTCAGTTTTGCTCTACATTACGTTCATTGCGTTTTTTAGTTTTTTCACAAGTTTGGTGGTACAATTTTGCATTGAACTAGACCGATTGAACAGAATGTTAAGAAAAATTGAGATAAAGTTGAAGACAGAGTCGAACCGTGCATTTTAGTGCGGTTTAACAGAAAACTAACCTATCACACCCCTTCATGTAGGGGTGTGGTGTATTGCTCTCAAGTCTACCCGAAGCGTTGACCCTACTGCCCAAGCTATAGTCCGTACGACTAGTAGTGTCAAGGCTTGTCAGGTATGCAGACAATGAAATCCCGTCGACGTCGCGACACATGGTCCAATCGCATGACGTTGTTCCCGAGTTAGATGCCTTCTTATCTTGCCGTAAGACTAAGTCCATGTCATCAGGAAGAACACTCGTTAGGTATAACATCTTCTCTCCCAACTCTTCTATTGTTTGCGAAGTCGATCCGACCTCATGCTTCTTCAGGTCGAGCTTATACTAAGCTTGTAGCTGACGTCTCATGTTGGAAGGTCGTCGCCCATGCATCCAGCCATTGTCCTCAGGTCGAACTTTGACTCCAGCTCGATCTGCCTGTTCATCCAGTCTAGTTGTCTGATTCCCTTGGTTCGGTTGATCCAGTATAGTAACTCACGTCAAAATGTCATATTTTTATTTGTAATATTTTTTAAAATGATTTATGACTAATAAAAATATATATTTATAAAAAATATTTATATGTCAAGAATATAATAAGACGTCCAAATGCTTGACCTTTATCTTATTTTCTAATTTTACAGTTTCGAGTAAGAAAGGAAAAACACAAATGGCGATGCACACAAGAAGGACCAAGGCCCGGCCCATGCCAGGCCCTGCGTACGCTTCTTCCCAATCTCACCGGTTTGTCAATTCTTCAACTGTTCGTTATGTTTAATCATTTTTCCCCCTTCTCTTTTTATGATGTTGATTTTGAATTAATAAATGTGTTATGTGTATGTTCTTTCTACTTACATAATCTGAAAAAAAAAATTGAACTCTTGAGCTCGGATATTATGGTTAAATTAATTGTGATTATGGTTTAATCAAGCTCAAATTAAGTGTTAGGTAGAAAAGGGGGACAAAGACAACATCTTCCAGTATGTCTAAACCCTAGAAGTGAGGTGATTTGTGCAGTTGATGTTGTTCGTTTACAGATAGAAAAATTTTCGATTTGGATTTTATTGTGTTTGGAGAACAATTTTGATGGAGCAAATTCGTTATTTGTTTTCAGACATTCTTTGTAAGCGTCACGAGATTCATTGGAGGTGTTGTGGAACTCTGTCTTGGATCTAATCAACTGTTTGTCTCAATTAAGGATACAGAAGTTATCAAAGATGTCCTTTTGAAAGATGAAAATAAGGAGAAATGCTAAGTTCCCGTTACGGAACCATTCCGTCGGAGTTTGTAACCGTTAGATCATCATATAACCGTCAGAGATAGTTGATCTAACAGTTAAAAATCCCGACGGGATGGTTATGTAACGGGACCGTAGCATCTTTTGAAAATAAGTTACCCTTTTGACTCAAGATGTTTATAACATTGGAGATTGATGCTCTTGAATAAAGGAACAATCTTCACTCTTTGGCCCACTTTGCTTTATTCATTACAGAATATAATCTATCATTAGAAGTAAAATTTTCATTTATTCTTCTTTTTTTTTTTATTAATCTAATTTTTTTTTCATGATGCTCAAATTCTGTTGGCGTAATTATTGACTGAGACTGTTTTCTGTATCGGTAACAACCGAGCGTAAGCGTAAGTCGATGGAAATGAAAGTTGGAGGAAAGTAGCTCGAGAGAATAAGTTTGATCTCTGGAGAAATACTTGATTAGCATCATGAAAGAGCTCAATGTGTAACCTTTTGATCCTCTTCACAGAAAGAAGTACTGAAAGACATGTGAATCGAAATATCTAATGATGTAAATTGATAGGTAAAAAAGAAAAGATTCGTCGTTTCTTGAATTTATGATGTGGAACATGTAGAAGACGAGCTTTTTGGCTGCCGTTGTTTGAAGTGTGATCGTTGGAAGAAATCGGTATTCTCTATTTTGTTTCCTTATTAGTTTCCTATTTCGTATGATCCTAAGACTTTGTTCAAAGAGAAATCAAGACTTCATATTTAGTTTTATCATACATTCTCTTTTTCGTTAGAAATTCGTTATTTTCTACCTTTTTTTTGTCCCGAGTTAAATTTGTGTGTGAGGGCGCTTGTTAAATTTGGAGCTCTATCCAGCAATGTATGTAATTTGGTGATGGAAAAGGGAAAATAAAGCCAGCTGATGCAAGAAATTCAATTCTGCAGCTCAAGAGTCCATCAATTATGTGTGAAAATTTTTGAGAAAATTGCTATTTTAGTTCTGTATGTTTCACTACTCTAATTTTCCTGTCCCCTTTGAATTTTTGCTTTGATTTTCGTCTCATATATCTGCAAAAAAGGTTACAAAACGGTCTCCGAGCAATTCGAAGGAGAACTTTTTGTTTCGAAAATGATCTTTCTGTAACCTTTTTACATTAAGGGACGAAATTCAAAAAATAATTTGAAGGGGAGCGAAAAAGTTAGGGTAATGAGACATACATGACTAAAATTGTAATCTTTTTCGGTGTTTTTTCATCTTGAGCCAATACATATATATACTTCATGTGTGGTGGAGTCTTTTGTTTAGCACAAGTGTTGTGATTAGTTTTTGAAGCAATAGGCATTTGTAAGTGGTCCTTTGATAAATTTAATTGTTATCTTAAATATTGTCCTTGTTATTATTTGTTAACAAACGAATGAAATACTTATTTAAAAAAATCTTTGTTATTATTTGTTATCTTAAATATTGTCCTTGTTAGTAAGTACAACAAATGCAATTTCATTTATGCCCACACATATTTCCCTCTCAAATGCCTAACATGATTTGTTTCACCAACTTCAATGTGAGGGGTCCCCTTTACCTACTCTCTATGGTCAGTCCTTATCTAATTAGAAATTGATGAACCATAATTCAACTAATGAATCAAACTCGCATTTTGGATTAACCAAATATTTGTTTTGAAATTTATATAAAGTATTTGTCTCGTATGAAAAGATAAAAATATTTATTTTTTAGGAGAAGTGAGATGAAAATGGTATCCCTTTATACATTTTCTTGTATATTGTCACATTAGTCATTATTGTGAATCTAAAAAATGAATTAAGTAATGTTTATATCTCATTTCCTAGTGTTTATTCGTGTTGCCTTCTTTTTTTTTTTGACAAAATATTAATTATTCCTAGTGCTGATGGGCACACCTCAGACATGTGCCCTTGGACTCCACACACGCCGTATGTATCAGTAATTATGGTTTGTATTGGTTGAACTCCTCGTGCATTATGTAGCCGCATCTGCTCCGTGAGCTCGGCTATTTGTTGGGGTTATCACGTTTTGACTGGAAGATACTTCACTAACCATAGTCCTCTTTCCTCGAATACTCTTTTGAGACGAGTTAGGACTCATCATTTCAAAAATGTCTAGCATCTCGTCTGGCGTGCATGGTCAATATCTCCACCGGTTGTATTATCCACCATGTATTGAAGATTCTGATGGAGAGAGTCATAGAAGTTGTTCACCAACAGACCCGGTGGAAAGTTATGGTGAGGACACTGTCTCTAGAGGTCCTTGAAGTGCTCCCAGGCCTCATCAGTGGCTCATTAGGCTGCTCGGCAAACGAGACAATCTGAGATCGTAGCTATAGCTTCTTTTGATGGGAGTAGTACCTCCCAATGAACTTTGAGTACACTTGCTCCCATGTGGTAAGAGAGTCGGGAGCAAGATTCATAAACCACGCCTTGGCTCGGTCTTTGAGAGTTTCCGGAAAACGCCGCATTTTTTTAGTTGATTCTCATTTAGCCCACGGAGAGTGAAGGTTTGGAGGACATTATAAAACTCCCTGATGAAATGAAGTACATCTTCGTTGGGGAGACCATGAAAAGGTGGAAGTTGGTTGTAATGGATCATATTAAGCTCGCAGTTCCGAGCTGCTTGCCCCAACTGAATGCATGACGTCACTGGTCCAATCACCGGTTGAACCAAATCTCGAGGAAGATACCGAGAGGGGTTATTTTTTCCCTCTTGTTCCTTCTGTGTCATGTCGACTTGGTTGTCTGATTCGGACGTTCTGGAAGAAGATTTTACAACAAGTCGCTTAAATCCTTATAGATGGATTCGTCGTTTGGAATGATTACATGACAAAAAAAATATCAGTTTGTGCATTTCAAACAAAAAGTATATCATATATTATTAATTTGCAAGCAAATTTCCCACACATAAAAAAATAAAAAAGAAAGCCATCAAATAGCTCAAATAAATTTGCCCACTTTATACCTTAAATCGATTAATTATTTTCTCATAGAAACGACAATCAAATACAAAAAATAAATTCGTCCACTTTATACAATATATTGATTAATTTATTTTTGATATAAACAACCATCAAATACTAAAAATAAATTCACTCACTTTATGCCATATACTAATTAATTTATTTCCAGATATAGTAAATGAAATTTATTTGGTAGGAAACAATGATTATTTTGAAAATAATCATATATAGATAGATAGATAGATACTTAATATAGTTAAGTATCGATGAATGTTGCATTTTTTAAAGCATATCAATATTTAAACATAACTTTTTAAAACAATTAGAAATGTTCAGAGCTCCAAACCAAATTGAATCGTCCTGATAGTCCTGAATACCAAACTGAATCGTACCGAGAATAAAAATCTTTGAACTGAACCGAGCCGAATCGAACCAACTTTTCAGCACGGTTCCGTATTGAATTTTAGTGATCTACAAATTTGGGTACGTTTCTGAAGATTTACGGTTCCGAGGATTTCTTAATTTCCCAACCGTACCGACCCAGTGCTCACTCCTAATAGTAAATATTTATAATAAGATACAATATTATTAAGACTTCGGCAAAATTTACATATAAATTATTTTTTTGTTACTTATACATATATTAAAAAATTTAAATTAACTACTCAATTATCAATTAACCTAACAATCTTGTTGATGAACATATTTGATCAATGAGTTAAAAGTGTTTTGAATCGGATTTTAGGATGCTTAGTTAAGGTAGATGTGTTTTTCTCGTGTGAAGAATCGGACATAAAGAAGTGTAGGATAATACAAGAATTTGATAATGTAGTAGTGGCCTAGATCAACCAATGCTGTTATTACTCGGACTAAGGTTTTTACATAGTAATTTTGACCAGAACCCATATCTCGTGGATTGTGTCATTTTTCATCCCCTTTTTAGCTTTAATACAAGAAGAGTATTACAGTAATTGTAGATCATGTACTGTTCATCGGACGTACAGTCCACATTTAATTGATCGGACAGACACATTTAACGCATCGTGCTATCATGTAGCTATATGGCCGGTAGGGCGGCCGATGAGCTGGCTGAGATGTAATTTCTCATCATTAGAAAGCAAGGGGCCTTTACCTTTTTGTCTTCTGCTCGGCCTGCTCGCTCAGCTCGGGTCGAAGTTCATGTTTTGAATTTTATCTTGTGGCCTCTCTTGCCAGGGTGCTTCTCGATCGGGCGGCCGATTCGCGAGCCTAGCTCAGTTCACTGAATGTTGGTTGTCTCTGTCTCTTTTGTGTGCTTGTTCTTCAACTCGAAGGCCAACAAATCCAACAATTAAACCGGTGATCCGAGGGCTAGTGACGGATATAGAATTTCGCACAGTAGGCCCCAATTTAAATGTTAAATAACGAGCTTGTAGTTTAAGTTGAAACACTCATTTCATATTCAAATGTATTTACTACAAATATAAATATCAATTCTAAAATACTTAGAGCATGTTTGTTTATAGAAATTTTTAGTTTTGTTTGAATTTTTTGGTTTGGTTTGGTTAATTTTGAAAAATGTGGTATGGTTAGTTGTTAGTGGGTATATTAAAATAATATGTAAAATAAAATAATAAAAATAATTTGATATAAAGTAAGAGAGAGATGATTTGATGTGATGGTTAGTTAAAATATTGTGAGTGGGTGAATAGTGAATTAATGTTGATGTGGTGTATATGAATGATTAATTTGATATTATTTAATTATATTGATAATAATTGATGATAATGTGGTTGAGTTAAAGTTGAGTTAAAAAAAGTGGTTGAATTAAAATCTGGGAATTTTTTTGAAAATTTCCATAAACAAACATGCCCTTAGAATCCGTACTACCTTCAGACTTTAAAAAACATATAAAAAAAAAGATGAGATTTCATGTATTTATAATTTAAGTGCAAACATCTATAATTTATAGAGAAATAAGTTTTTTTTTTTGGTTGAAAAATTAATTTAAATTGTACTTTTGCAGCACATTGAATAACATTTTTGGCAATGAAAGCTTATCAAATTAACATTTGTTAAGAAAAAAATAAATAAAGTCAAAAATATGCAATTAGAACAAAAGAAATAAAAAATAAACATAAAAAATGTAACAATCCAACTAAATATTCGTTTTTATAAATCACTAAATTGATTTACAATTAACAGATCGAAAGAGTAAATCATTATAAACATTTTCAAAAGTTTATCTAGAAATGTAAAAAATACAAAGATTGTCATCACCTTTTTCAATAAATAAAATAATATTATTAATTTAAATCAAAATATCATAAAAAATAATTTTAATTATTAATATATTGTATATAATTTTTGTATATAATTTTTACATTTCTATACATATTTTATAGATTTTCTTTATATATAATACATATAAATATACATTTACTTTTAAAAATCAAGGGGGCCCCTGTTTCTCGATGCAGACGGTTTGGCTCCCTCGGTCGATTTTAGATTATTTGGAGAAAAAATGCCGTTGTTTTGTCTGGGGTTCCACAACTTCGCAAACTACTTCCTCTTTGGTTCCATGGGCCGAGGTGTGTAGCCCAAAAACTGAAGGAGGCCTGGGACTTAAGTGCATGCGTCGAATGAATGACGCGCTTCTTATGAAGTTGGGATGGGGTATACTAACTCGCCCGGATTCGCTATGGGTATGGGTTCTCTTGGCAAAATATAAATTGTCGCAGTCACAACTTTTGTTAACAGAATCATTCCCTAAGGGCTCGTCTACATTGAGGGGCCTGGGGCGGATTTGGGACCACCTGCTACGGGGCGTGCGTTGGTCGGTGGGAAATGGAACTCGTATTCGCTTTTGGCATGATAAATGGTTACATTTGGATGTGAGGTTGGGCCAGATTTGCTCCGACATCCCGGTGCAGCAGCACCAATGGACAGTTGCCGACTACACAACGGCGGCAGGCCAATGGCGTTGGGACATCCTCTCTCACCTCCTACCGGCAACATCCCTGTTGCAGTTGACATCGCAGCTCCCTCCCAAGTTGCATGGTCGCGACCTGCTATACTGGGGCTTCTCTGACGATGGTACTTTCTCCACCGCATCGGTAGGGCCTACCGTTTTCTCGCAGGCCCGGCGCCAGCTGGGGCGGGCAGGATATGGAAGATAGTATGGCATTGGGGCGGACCGCAACATATTCGGCAATTTTTATGGCTAGTCGCCAAGGGACGCCTTTTCACAAACAGCGAACGCTTTCGCCGCCATGTCGCGCCTTCACCTGGCTGCGAGCTATGTGGTGGCCTGGAGGAGAGTATTCTCCACGCTTTACGAGATTGTCGCGGAGCGATGCATATATGGCGCTTCTTCATCCTGGGAATTGAGACCACTGATTTTCTACGCCTGGACCTCGATGCTTGGCTCTCTCGCCATCTCTCATCTCCGGTGATGTACGGTGTTGACAATTGGTCGTTTTTGTTTCGCATAGTTATGTGGCGGATTTGGCATGCACGTAACTCATTTATTTTTAACCATGAAGACTTTGACGTGCCGCGGCGAATTCACGAAATCCGGCTACACTTGCGAAATGTCCTTGCGGCTCAGGAGCATGCGAGGAAGTGTGTCTCGGGAATAATAAGGCGAGAGGTTCGGCTGGTCCATTGGATACCACCCCCGGAGGGATGGGTGAAAGCGAATTCTGATGGTTCTTTTAACGGAGCGACGGGCTTGGCGTCCGCTGGGGGTTTATTACGTGACTGTTATGGCCAATGGTTAGGGGACTTTGTTATGAATATTGGGTTCTCGACGATCACCGGAGCCGAACTATGGGGATTGTTTCAGGCATTACCTCTAGCGTTGGATATGGGCTTCCGAAGAGTAATTGCATCAATTGATAGCCAGTGTGTGGTACGAATGATCGAGGGGGCCCATGGTGGGGTAGGAGCCAATGGCAGTTTGGTAAGAGGTGTCCAGGAACTTATGGCTAGGCAATGGGAGGTGCGCCTTCTCCACGATTGGCGTGAATCAAATTTTGCAACGGACTCGCTAGCATCACTGGCTACTCGCAGTCCCGTCGGGCTTCATGTGTTGCAGGCCCCTCCGAGCGATGTTAAACCGTGGCTGAAACACGACATCATCGGTGTTTCCCACCCACGGAACGTAGTTGCTTGATCTTTTTCCTTTCTTAGGCTATGCCTCCTTAATGAAAAAAAAAAAAAAAAAAAAAATCAAGGGGGCCCACTAGCCTCTTTTGGCTCCGTCTCTGCCTACGGCTATCCAATATCATCACAACGTTGTCAATAATACTCAAATTAGGTAAGTGGACTCAACTTCCTCCAACTTTTGGCTTAGCTGAGGAAAAAAGGCACCACCTATCCAAACACAAAGACCAAAATACCCTCACCTACCACCAAATTCTGTATCTACTGCCTCTGTATATATATTCATCTTCCCTCCACTCCACAAAACCTCCCAACCACCCAAAAATGGCCGTCCTTTTCTTCCTCCTCCTCCTACCCCTCGCCGCCGTCTTCCTCCTCAGCCACCTCTACACCCGCCTCCGCTTCCGCCTCCCGCCGGGGCCACGGCCGTGGCCCGTCGTCGGGAACCTTTACCACATCAAGCCAGTCCGCTTCCGCTGCTTCGCCGAGTGGGCCCAGTCGTACGGGCCAATCATCTCGGTCTGGATCGGGTCGACCCTCAACGTCGTGGTATCGAGCTCAGAATTGGCACGGCAGGTGCTCAAGGAGAAGGACCAGCAGCTGGCGGACCGCCACCGGAGCCGATCGGCCGCCAAGTTCAGCAGGGACGGCCAGGATCTGATATGGGCCGATTACGGGCCGCACTACGTGAAGGTGCGGAAGGTCTGCACGCTGGAGCTGTTCTCGCCCAGGAGGCTCGAGGCGCTGAGGCCGATTAGGGAGGACGAGGTCACGGCGATGGTTGAGTCCATTTACAATGATTGTGCTGCTCCCAATTCTGGTATTTTCTCCCCCTTTTTGTATTTTCGATTTTAGTAGCTCGAGAATTGTTTGTTTGTTCGTCTCTGTATGTGAATTTTGAATTAAAATGAACTGTGATTTTTGGTGCTCCAAAATTTGTTTGAGAATATTGGGTAACAGGGAAATTTGGTGAAGTGAATTTGGGGGTGGGCTTTGTAGGCATAGTAGTATAGATGAATTGTAGTGATTGCTAGAACTATTCTTGAAGCTTTAGTGTGATTACTGCATAAAGGAGGGATATGAAACAAAGTGATCCTTCAGAAACTCGAATGGCTCCAATTTCAGGGGATCGACACATATCCATGTGTGTGTGTGTGTGTGGGTGTGTGTGATCGAAGGGTAAAAAGCTTGCTCTCACCGGTAGAATCAAATTTACCAAATTTATGTTCTTTTCAGAGAAGGCCTTCTTGCATTCTTTCTTGCAAGACAAAGAAGCTCAGGGAGTTGCATTTTTCAGTATATTTATAAGTTTCTTAGGGCAGATATTTGTAATTAAACCGAGTTTTTGTGATTATAAATCAAGTGTCGAAACAAATTTGAGAAGAATTTGTAGTATGGTAGCAGCAGTAACACCACTCTGTTAGCAAAATTGCATCATTATTTTTTTTTAAAAAAAAAAAACAAAAATAAAGGACATTTTGCCTAAGCGGTTAAGACAAAACGTGCAGATAACCCGGGAAAGAGCCTCGTGCTGAGGAAATACCTTGGAGCCGTGGCTTTCAACAACATCACGAGGCTCGCGTTCGGGAAAAGGTTTGTGAGCTCGCAGGGGATCATAGATAAGCAAGGGCAAGAGTTCAAGGCTATAGTTGCAAATGGGCTGAAACTTGGGGCGTCCCTAGCGATGGCCGAGCACATCCCGTGGCTGAGGTGGATGTTCCCGCTTGATGAGGATGCATTTGCCAAGCACGGGGAGCGTAGGGACCGCCTCACACGGGACATCATGGAGGAGCACTCCGCAGCCCGCCAACAAAGCGGGGGAGCCAAACACCACTTTTTCGATGCTCTGCTCACGCTCAAGGATGAGTACGATCTTAGTGAGGACACTATAATCGGGCTTCTCTGGGTGAGTTCGAAATTTTAAAAAAAAATTATATATATAAAGAAAATGTTACCTTTTTTCGAGAGTTTTTAGCTGGTTTTCTTGCTTGTGCATAAGTTTTGTTACTCCCTGCAGTTCATTTTTAAGATGATCAGTTCACACTTATTGAGTAACTTGTTTGAATGCCTGAATGAATGTACTTATCCTTGGTTAATGTTGGAAAGATTTGTAGGAGAATCTGTTTCAGTGACTACTTGAGATTGTAATTGCTGGGATAAAAATTGAATAATGAGTGAATCATGAGATTTTTTCTTAAACAGTAACATTAGTGACTGTTTTGTGCTAAAAATCATATTTGTTCTAAAAAAATTACAGGACATGATCACGGCAGGAATGGACACGACGGCGATATCCGTCGAGTGGGCCATGGCCGAGCTGATCAAGAACCCGCGGGCCCAAAAGAAGGCCCAAGAAGAGCTGGACCGTGTGGTCGGGCCCGAGCGCGTGATGACCGAGCTCGACTTCCCGAGCCTCCCTTACCTCCAGTGCGTGGCCAAGGAGGCATTACGGCTCCACCCCCCGACCCCACTAATGCTTCCTCACCGCTCAAACTCCCACGTGAAGATCGGAGGGTATGACGTCCCGAAGGGCTCGAACGTGCACGTCAACGTGTGGGCCGTGGCCCGCGACCCGGCCGTGTGGCAGGACCCACACGAGTTCAGGCCCGAGAGGTTTCTTGAGGAGGATGTGGACATGAAGGGGCACGACTATCGGCTGCTCCCGTTTGGGGCCGGGCGGAGGGTTTGCCCGGGAGCCCAGCTCGGGATTAACCTGGTGACCTCCATGATCGGGCACCTGCTGCATCACTTCGAGTGGGCCCCACAGGGGGAGATCCACATGGCCGAGAGCCCGGGTCTCGTGACCTACATGCGGACCCCGCTTGAGGCGGTACCGGCTCCGAGGCTGCAGGACCCGGAGCTGTACAAGCGCGTCGCGGTCGATGACATCTGAAAAGCCTGATTGGTTGGTTACCTATGGTTTTTGCTGTGGGAAAAGTTTGTAGTGACTTTTTTTTTTCGGGTACTGTGAGAAAAATATTTGGGGTGGTTGGTGAAGATGAAACTATAGTGAAATTGCTCAGCATCTTGTAATTTGCAGTTTTACTGTCTACTGGTAAATAAGAGTTCGTTTCATTTTTCATGCAGTGAATATCAGATAGTCTGTTTCCACACAGATTTACTATCTTTTTTCTATATTCTTTTAGAAAAAAGTCGAATTTAAGTTAAGGTAAAGTTGTATAAATAATCCATATTTAGATTATCATTTTAAAAGTATTAAATGTCTCAAATCAATTTATGCAATATGGTGCATAATACCATCGGATAATTTCTTATTTTAGATTTACTACTAATATTGGTTTTTTTTTTTAAAAAAAATCCTGCATTTAAAAATAAAAAAAGTGTACCTTCAAAAGCTCAAGTTTTTGACTTAGAAAGCCATGAACTTGCTAACAAACAAGAAAAGGAGATGCAAGCTAAACCCGAAAGGAGTACTTTATGGAATCATTCTGTAAACAAATAAAATAGAAAAATTGTTATTCAACAGTATCATGCATTTATGCTTCCATTCCACACAACCAATAAATGTTTGTCCAAAGCACAGAATCCTTGTACATAAACTCAATTCAGTAGCATATAGAGCTCTAGAAGAAGTACACAATGGAGAGCTGAATGAAGTAAAAATCTCGGGAAAAATAACAAGCCACTGGGCCATCAACATAGGTACGCGTGGGATACACGATACGTATATATGTTCCGACACACCACAAGAACAAATCGTAGGCAAACACAGCCTTAACATGGCTGCAATCACACACAGCTTTCGTACAATACAAAGTACAAACATAGAAAAATGGCGAACACACGTACTTTTTAGAAGTCTGGCAATATTGAGGAAGAATCTGACACTTGGCGGACGGGCGGCATGTTATTCCAGGAGGAAGAACTTTTTAGGCCACGATTAGCCCATCTGTTGTCACCTGCAAGAACACCATCAGTTAATAACATGGGGCAGTTTTGTTGCTTTTCATTTGGCCCCATCCAGCTACCGAAAGATCCAAGTATTGCATCTGGCCTACAACACTCTAAATTATTCTGAAATTTTTCGCTTTCAGAAGCCAGGATCCAACTTCCATTCAACACCTCTGATTTCACGTCACATGCTGCATATCATCATGAATACAAGAAATACCATTAAGTGAAAGAACCGATCTTTTTGAAGTTATTTGCTTTTTATAGAAAAAAAAATTCTTGGACAGGGTTTAGATCAAGCAAAAAGCGTGCATTCGGCAATTTTATTTTGAGTAGAAGTAAAATGTTGACTCTTAGCGGAAAACAAATGTGACGTAGGGAAAACTGAGACAAAGCTGTAAAATTCTTGAAAACGCTGTAAAATCAAAATCAACCACGAAAACTCAAATCCAACAAGGTGAAAATATTGCCAATTCTCAGGACCTTTGTTTCACACCGGAAGAGTTTATTCAACTAATCTAAAGCTAACTGACATTGAGTTAAAATCACAGGTACAGACTTCTAAAACATCATGATACAGCTTTAGGCCACACGCAATTCCTACTTCAGGTATATCTTAATTCTCATCCCTTTTCTTTCTCGTTCATAAAACAAAAGAACAATGGATCACTTTAGTTTATATTCTTACCAGACATAGTATCTTGCAATGAACTCCCAATGTCACCAGTAGGAGTGTAATCATCGGAAATCAATCCCATCGAGTTACCTAACGGTGAACCTGGATCAAGGTAATCTTTGACCTCTGTGGAGCATTTTTTAAAGGCAGAACTGTTTCCATGGCTGTAGTTAGATGAAACGCTCCAGTCAGAGGATTGATTGCTTAGAGCCTTAGCCTCATAAAGTAAATCCTCCAAGAGACCACTGCTTCCTGGGATAGGACAATTCGAAGAATAAAAAGGCCCGGATAGAGACAGTGGAGGAGAATGAACTATGGGATCCATTGATTCGAGCGTGGGGTCCCACAGACCAAAACTGATCTGTTGATATTGGAGTGAAGGGAGCTCCAACTTCTGAGCACCTGATATGGGCTTAGAAGCAGAGAAAATTACATTTGACGTATGATGAATATCCTGCTTGGCACCAAAAGGAAACGGTTTTTTGGTGGGGTCAGGGCCACAAGTGAAACTCAGACCTAGGGACTGAGGCATTTTGTTAATCAAGCCTTCAGTTAGTGACCGTTCAAAAGGAAGTGCCTCACAAGGTGTACCAAAAACATTACCCTTTGAAATACGGTCAGAAATACCATGAAATTCTGGAGCGTATGGTAAAATGTCATAATTATCAAGCATGTTATTAGGAGTCCCATAACCACTGCTATGCATGATGTCATGACATACATTATCTCCGAAAATTCCAGGTGAACTGAATTGTTGTTGATTCTCTGGATGGGCATGTAGGGGCATATCGGGAGGATAAAGCGGTAAACCAGCTCGTTGACGCCTTTTTATTCTGGTATTCCAGTAGTTCTTTATCTCATTATCAGTCCTTCCTGGCAACTAAAATAACAATAAGGAAAAAAAAAAAACAAGCACCATGATGTTAAAATATTATTAAAATAAAGTATCCAAATGCGATGATCTCAAACATCATATTATATCCCAACATGCAAAGACTGTAATCCAGCAATTAAAAACAGCACAAAAAGTAAAACAGATCAACTGCTAATTCCTGAAGAACATTTTCATGAGCAGATAATTAAATTGGCATTTTCTTTTCCTCTGCCCCGTTTATGTCTAATATGAGCTCCAATAATGAACTCATAGACGAGTGAGTGTCAGAAAAAAGCTTACATTCTGAAATACAATATATTTCTTGGAAGGCTAGTAACATAATTGCAACTATGACAACAATATATATGCACATAGTAGCAGGAGCTATTCCAGTGCTTGATTCTTCAATAGTAACCAACCTAATTTATATTTGATATGCTAACTTTTGAAAAAATACTGGGAACTTACAAAAGAAGCCATTTTGTTATATATGTTTTTACCACACCAGAAACTCCAGAACAGAATCATAGGCACAATTTGTTTGACGCAGCACATAAATCAAGGCCTGACAATCAGTCACAAGGTCCTTCCAATTAATACCATGGACCAGTACTTAATATTGGTTCCCAGTTAAAAAGACAAAACACATTTCAGTCCCTGATAAATGCAAAAAGTCCAATTTAAGTGGTTACTGGAGCTTACATGTGCAGCCATTTGTGCCCATTTGTTCCCCATCTTAGCATGAAGCTCGATTATTAGCCGCTCTTCTTCTGGTGTAAATGCTCCTTTTTTGAGGTTTGGCCTCAAATGGTTTGCCCATCGCAAACGGCAACTTTTCCCACACCGCGAAAGGCCCGAGTGTTTCTGAACTGCATTCCAGTTGCCTTCTCCATGCTTTTTCACATAATCGACTAAAATTGCATCCTCGGCAGCTGTCCACGGGCCTTTCTTCAGAACAACACCTGGTCCTTTCAAACTCCCACTCAAAGTGTCACCATCACTGCTGAAAGGAGAGTCCGTAGAGAACAGACCATCTTCACTTTCTGTGGTAATGCAGCGGCCCATTTCTTTCTTTTACTCTCCGAGTAAAACTACACAACTCGATAGTTCACCAGCATCAAATAGTCCCACAACCCTGGAAAAGAGAAACAAAAAAGATCACACGAATGCTATGCTGGACATGGAAGTGGCTTCATATTGCTTTCCATAGAGTTACTTAAAGTCTTAATCATGCAACCTTATAAATCCATCACGTTAATATATAGGCAAATGATAGAAAACATAAATAGCTGCCTGATGGAGTTATGCCACTGCCCAGAAACTCTTAACATATTTAACACTAGTGGCCATAGCTAGAAATTTATGTGCCATAACCCGTAAAAAGTTTTGAGCTTAAGTCTCGTCTTACGCTACACATTAATTGCCATAGAAAATCAAATTTTTAGAATAAGATGACTATTTACCACTAAAACTACAAATACGAAAATTCCCCATTGGAATTACCAACAGTCCCCCCATAGAAAAAAAAAATACACACACACACACACACACA